TGCTTCCTGGCCATGTGTCACAGTCTGGCCAAGGAGATAAATAAAATCAGAAGTTGCTGGGTGCAGATTCAACCCTTTTGTGGCTTCTTTCTTCCTCCTGCATGAGCACAAATGTGATGGCAGGAGCTGAAGCCACCAACTTGAAACCATGAGGGAAAAGTCTAGAGAATTGAAGAGACTGCAACTCTGACTTCAGACCCACTTTCACCCACCTCCAGACTTGGGGCTAAGTGAGGGATGAATAAACCCCTGTTTTGTTTAAGCCCTTGTTATTTGTGCCCAAACAAAATCCTATGTGGTCCAGGTGAGCATTAGGCAAGGTAGAGAAGGGTGAGGGCCCCTCTGGGGCTTGTTTCCTGATTCCCTTCAGACCACAAACCCTCTAGCACTTCCTGCCCAGCCTCTGCCACTTCCCAGGTGTCCTGGCCCCCTCCCTCCTCCAAACAAAGGTGCATGCCAAGATCCAGGGGATGTGAGGTTTGTAGGCCCAAGTCTAGAGAGAGCTGAGTCTGGCAAACCATGAAAGCCCCAGACACTCCCTGTCCAAATAAGCCAGGACATGGGCCCACAGTATCTGGGACCAGGGAACAAGGGGACCAGGGGAGCTGCTGAGATGCTGGGTAGCACCAGGACTAGCCCAGAGAGAGCCTCAGATCCCTCCTAGCCCATTCCCCTCCATCTGGCTTATTCTGAGGGGCCTCCCCAAGAGCTCTCCCAGGCTGCCGACATCAACGCCAGGCTCCCGGCCTCCACCACAATGCCCTGGGCAGCCTGCAATTCATGGCTTTGTTGTCTCCAGAGTAGAAATTCGACATAGATGTGCCCAAGGGGTGGGGAATGGGGAGATTTGAGGGCTGGAGAGGGTGACCCTCACATTCTTCCCTCTTGGTCACAGGAGTGAGTTTCCCATACCTTCAGGTGGGTCCCACCCTGGACCATAGTTGTTAATATGAATATCTGCCACTCTTTACTGAACATGGCTGTGTGCATTAAGCTTTATATGCAGCACCACACCGAGTCCTCACAAAAGAGCCATCATTCCCATTTTATAGAAAATGAAACTGAAGCTTAAAGTTAAGTGACTTGTCCAAGGTTACAAAGTTTTCAGAATTCAAACCCACATCTATCTGCCTCTAACACCCAATATTTCACCACTCAGTTGCTGTCAATGTCACCTCAATTTTAATGAGCCAGGCCAGACCCCCCCGGAGCCTGTGGGAGAAGCCAGGATAGAAAAGGATTGGAAAAAATGGTAAAGTAATAACAACTGTCAATTCTGAGTAGCCACTGTATGCTATTACCCTGGGTAACTTTTTCTATATTTCAAAACTTTCTGAAAATAAAAATTGTTTTAAAAGAAAGAAATGAAGGAGAGAAGACAAGAAAGCACAGGACTGGGTCAGAGGCTGGGGCCGGGCTGGGGCTGGAGCGGGGCCGGGCAGGGGCTCAGGGCAGCCCTTCCGCACAAGAGCCGCACTGTTCCCAGGGCCCGGCTGCCATCCAAGAGCAATACAGTAGGCACCAGGCAACGTCTGCCCCCTCCCCCCAACTCTGCTCCCAGGCAGGTGAGGGGCGGGGCATGGCCTCAGGAATTCCTCCTGGCCCGGCCTGGCATTCCAGGAGCCTCGGGCCCGGTGCTTCATAGGTGCCCCATCAGTACTGCAAATGGGCAGGGAGAGCAATGCCCAGCCGCAGCCTCCACACACCCTCCCCTTCAGGTGAATCTCCACCTTCCAGGGTCACAGGTAAGGATGGGGGCAAAAAGTGGGCCGATGTGTTAGCATGCACAGTCTCAGCTCTGTGGACAGTCACCCTGAGCTCTCTCTCTTTGTCCCAAATGATTAGGGTTCAATCTCAGTTCTGTTCACTTGCTATGTGAATTCAGACAAGTCATTCCATTTGCCTGAGCTTCTGTTTCCTCACCTGCAAAACAGAGCTAAGGACTCCTACCCTCATTTGGCTGACGGGAAGATCAAAGGACTTAATGCCCATATACTGCCTGACCTTGTATGATGCCTGGTATACAGGGGAGCTCAGTCAAGGCAAGGACTTCTTCCCTACTTCCTGTTCTGGTGAAACCCATTCCCACCTCTTAACTCATTCACTTCTTCCAACACCCCTGGGGAAAAGGGGGCAGGAGTGTGCCCATTTTCTGGTTGGAGAAACTGAGGCAGAGGCAGGCTAAAGGCAGGATCTTAGAATGGCAGGCTTCTGAACCCCTGCTAGGGGTGTGTGTGTGTGTGTGTGTGTGTGTGAAAGTCTTTGAGAGAGAGACTGTAAATGCAACTGGTGAAAGATTGTTAACCAAAGAGTGAGCCTGTGACAGGCAGATGGGCTAGGATTCCTCTCCCAGACAGCCTTAGCATGCCTCCTTCTGGGTTCTGCTTACTTATCTACCTCTCCCCACAATGCCAGCAGCTCCTGGAAGGGTGGAGGCTGGGTATGATCACTGCTTTATCCCCAGGATTTAGAACAGTGCATCCCACATATTGAACCCTCAATAAACAGTAGACGAGTGAATGAGTGAATGAATGACGCTGTGACAGAGCGTCAGGCTCTGCAGAGGGTCAGTGTGAGAGGCCGTGAGTGTGGGAGGGGGGCTGGACAGGGGATGTGGGGTGGAGGGGTGAGGTTGCCAGTCTAAGGGTCTTGTGTGTCTCAGGGGGCAGGGAGGTTGCACGACCTGGGCTATGAAAGCCTCTACTCTGCCTTTGGCTCAGGTGAACTGGGAAAGCGCCTGGAAGTTGAATGAAAGCTGTGTAGGGTCCAGCTCCTGCTGGCAGCTCACCCACCCCCAACAACCACATTCACTAAAGGGAGCCAGCAGGGACCAGAGGCGGGGAGCTGAGTCTCTCCAGGAGTCCAGGAAGCCTGGCGAGGCCCCTCTGGGCAGGAGGCTCCCATTTGCTGCGCATCCCCAGTGCCAGGAGCCTCAGCCTGCCCGGGTGCTCCAGTGAGGAAGGACCCTGGATGAGGGGAATCAGGACAAGCTGTTCTTAAAAGTTAGCCAATTGTTGTCTGATTTATCTTTGGGAGGAGGCCATTCTTTAGTTTGAGAAGGAAAAGAAAATCACTTTAATGCGCCTTTTAGTCATACAAAGGAAAATCCTCTATCCCATTGGGAGTAAGAGTGGAGAGAGCGAGACCTCTCCTCATAACAATGGGAACGGAAGCTGCTTCCCCCAGGGCAGAGTCTCCAGCAGCCAGAGAGCTATGTGGGAAGGAGAGCCTGAGGCCCCAGGGGAGGGGTTTCCTTTCTCCTCAAGGAACCTTCAGAGGAGTAGAGGGCTGGGACTTGAGGTGAGGGTTGTGCAGAAGTCAAAGGTTGCCTGGCCTCCTGTTTGGCCACTGTCAAGATGCTCAAGTGCTTCCAGGTGAGGCAGACCTGAGGCATGTGGGACAGAGCGATTCCGGCCCACCCACTGTGTGCCAGGCACTTGAGACACAATGGTGGGGTCTGCAGGGAGTTCCTGCCTTCTATTTACAGAATTAACTCTTTAGTTACAATTCTGGAACGTGCCATGAAGAAATAATGGGTCCTAAATAATCACGGCTAACACTACAAAGCAAGTGCTATATGTCAAGCAGTGTTTTAGAACAACAGGCTTACACATACCAACATGTCTACTTTTTGCGACCATTTTGTGTGTGTGTGTGTGTGTGTGTGTGTGTGTGTGTGAGCAAGATTGTTCTTGAGCTAACATCTGTGCCAGTCTTCCTCTATTTTGGTTGTGGGATGCCGCCACAGCATGGCTTGATGAGCGGTGCCCGAGGTTCCGAACCAGCAAACCCCAGGCCACGGAAGCGGAGGGTGCAAACTTAACCACTACGCCACTGGGCTGGCCCCTGCTACCACTTCTTGAGGATACTATCATCACACCTGTTTCACTGCCGAGAAGAGGAAGACACAGAGATGGAGTAACGTCCCAAGGCCACTTGTGATGGTGCGAGATCGGAGTCCTGCGATGTGTGATCTGAACCACCTCCCTCCCAGCTTCTTTCTCCATGCTCGCCGAAGAGAAGCCACCAAAGAGGAACGTGTGGGGCCAGCCCGGTGGCGCAGCGGTTAAGTGCCCACTCCGCTGCGGCGGCCCAGGGTTCGCAGGTTCTGATCCCGGCGCCCCACATACGGCTTGTCAAGCCATGCATGGCAGCGTCCCATATAAAATAAAGGAAGATGGGCACAAGGTTAGCCCAGGGCCAATCTACCTCAGCAAAAAAGAGAGGAGGATTGGCATCAGATGTTAGTTCAGGGCTGATCTTTCTCACGAAAAAAAAAAAAGGAAGACCGTGGCAAGTCCAGAAGGCTTCTCCGAGGAAGCGAGCTGAGACCTAAGAACGAAACGGAGCTAACCAGACCTAGAGGAGAAAGAGCATTCCAGGAAGCAGGCACCACGCGTGCAAAGGCCCAGAGGTAGGGTGGGAGCAAGGAAGAAGTGAATGAGGGATTCGTCTGGAGATGTGGGCAGGGCCAGGTCACGCCAAGAATCTTTATAGGAAGCTGTTGGAAGGTTTTAGAGGGGTGGTTGTGGTTGGTACAGTCGGGTTTGTATTTAAAATACCAATCGGAAGGTGGGCAGAGGACGGACAAGGATGAGGGCAGAGGGGGTCTGCTAGCCACTGTCCCGCGATTGCGCAGAAGGCAGAGCAGCCAGGCTGGGCAGAGGTCTGCGGAGGCGGGCGGGTTAGGACTGCTGGGTCTCGTTCCCCAAGGGGTGAAGAGCAGGAGATAGAGCGATGGACTAGAACTTGGGAGCCTGGCCGGGGCGGGGCAGGAGAGGCGGAGTCTGAGGGGGTGTGCGGCAGGCTGGGCCCGGGCCCGGGACTGGGCTGACCCGATCTGCCGCTCTCCGCTGTCTGGTTCCGGGACGGGTCTTCAGGTGGGCGGGACGCGGTGCCACCCGCCAGCACGCCGCGGTCAGGATAGAGCTGGTCCGGGCGGGGCGGGGCCCTAGGTGGGCGGGGCGCTGGCCCCCCGGCCACGCCGCTGTCGCGGGTGCATTCCTGGCTTTGCGGCCCGGGGCGGAGGGACGCCCGGGCTGAGTGCGGTCCCCGCTGGGCGCGGGGTCGGGGCTGGCGGGAGCTGGGAGCGGGGCCGCGGAGGACCCAGGTGAGCGAGGACCCTGTGCCGGGAGCTGAGCCGCGGAGGATCGAGGTGACCGGGACCCCATGCGGCCCAGGCTGCGCTCCCAGCCGCCAGGGGGCGAGCGGCGGCGGGGTTCCTGGAGCTGCCCCCTCCCAGCACTGGGGACCTGGGCGTCCGCTTGGCGGGGGTTGGGGGGACGGTAAATCAGTAACCCGCAGTGCACACAGGGCCTTTTGTCCCGCTCCGTCCAAAGAGCACCCTGGCCGCGGAGCTGGTTACTCATTGCCCACCGGGGCGGGGGCGGGCCGTCTGTCTCTGCAGCGCCCCCTCGGAACTGCGGACTCTCACCTCCCCCCAGAGTGGCCGGGTAGGGGTGGAGGAGGAGAGCGCGCTGGTCCCTCGGCTGCTGGACCTTCTGTGCGCCCCGAGTAGAAATGAGGAAGATGAGGCTCCGAGAGGTGCAGTCATGGGCCCAGGGTCCCCCTGCCCCTGACTGCGGGAGGCTGGAGGAGAATCCAGGCTGCCTGATGCCAGAGTCAGGCCCTTCGGCCCCACGTGCCGGTCATCGGCCGCCTGTGACCCGACTAAGGGCCCTGAGGTTCTGAGGTCAGGACAGCCTGGGGGTGGGAATAAAATCCTCGGGCCCCTCCACCCCACTCCCAGCCGCAGCTGTGGACCCAGAGAGACGACCTCCCTGCAGAGCAGAGCTCGGGTGGGGGAGGGGGCGCTGGTTTACAGAGGAGGGGCCATGGAAACTGGGGGTGGGTGCAGAGATGGTGGCAGCCAGCCAGGTGCAGAAGAGAAATGGAGACCACAGAGGAATGGGCAAGAGAGAAGATGTGCCCAGTTTTGAAAGCCAATGGTTCGGTATTCAAGAGGCTGAAGGGGCAGACTGTGTGACCAAAGACATTGACAAGGGCAGGGAGGGAGCCTAGGATGCTAGATAAACAGTGTGGACTGGATCCTGCTGGATACAGGCAGCCATTAGGGGCTTGTAAGCTGGGGGAGGGGGTGACATGGCATACTTGTAATCTTTAAAACCTTGCTGGAGACCAGAGGCTGAAGAGCCCAAGGAGATGTTTGCAAAGGCCCAAGCTAGAGATGACCATGGCCTGCCCTGGGTACAGGCAGGGGAGGTAGGATGGATTGGAAAGGGATTGAGGAGGCAGAATGGACTGGAAGGAGGGGAGGGGAGAGGAGAGGGCATAGACAGAGATGATGCCCCAGCTTCCAGGAAAACCCACCGAAGGAGCAACTTGAAGGGGAGATAATGGCTTTGGCCTGGACAAGCTAAGTGCCCCCTGCCTCAGAGCCAGAGCTGGATGTGTTTTGGGGGGAGGTGGGAAGGGGAGGGGGCAGTGGCTGAGAAGGGAGGGTGTGATGGGCTTCCTGGTCAAGGTAGATCCAGAGACACCAGTGTCACCTGACAGCCAGCCCCAGGTAACAGCCAGTGGGCGCCGGGACTACACTGGTCACCTATCCTCCCCTGCCCCAGCTGAGGCTCAGTTTTGAGTGTTCCTTTTGGGGGATGGCTTCATCATTGGTGGCATGTGGAGGAGGGTAACAGGATGGGGTGGGTGTGTACTTCAGCGCCAGAACCGGAGGTGACTGGCCGTGGGCAGATCCAGGGTGACAGTCATGAGGAGGGGGAGAGTAGTTCAACATTCTGTGTGCCCAGCCCCTACCTTCAATATCTCTTATCCTCAGAGCTGTTCTGAGGACAGCAGCCCAGAGAGGGGCAGGGACTTGCAAGTTGATAAAAGTCAGGTTTTGAACTTGGCTCTATCAGACACTCGAGTCTACATTCTTTACCACGGTGTGTCTTGCCTCAGATGGAGATATGGGGGAGGTAAAGCAGAGGTATCCCCAGGATGCAATTCTGGTTTAGAATCAGGAAGAACTTCCTGCTTGCCATAGGACGTCCTGCCTTGTTAGTAGTGAGCACCGTGCCACTGGAGATATCCAAAGTGGGTCAGGGGAATGTCAGCAATGCTAGAAGGAGTGGGGGTCAGATCAGAGAACAGCCAGATGCTGAAGTTTGGCCTTGTATTATATTTCAGATTGGCAGGGGGGAGGCTCTTTAGCAATAAATTCATTTATTCAGCAAAAAATAAATTATGTGTGCTGAAAGCGAGCAGAAGATATGTCTCCATTCTCTGCTTCCCTCCAAGGAAGGAATCCCAAAACTGCCCTTTCTGTGAACTTGTGCCAGGGTCTCAGCAGGACAGGAGGAGAGCAGGAAGCCCAGCCCAGCCGCCCTGCACGACCTACTGTGGGGAGGCCTTGGGCTCGGCAACAGCAGAGCTGGTTCCGGTCTCTGCTCTGCCGCTGGCCGGCGGGGGGCTTGGACAAGTCTGCCCACCATTTCATGTCTCAGTTTCCGCATCTGCAGGAATAGGGGGTAGTGCCAGTGAAGGTGCACACACGCAGGAGCTCTTCTCCCTCCGTTTCAGGAAGGCAGTCGGTGGGAAGCCCAGCCTGGGTCCCCGGGAGCAGCAGGAAGGAGATGCGGCTGCTGTTGACCCTGTTGGGAGTCCTGCTTGGGGTGCTCAGGGCTCCAGCTTTGTCCCTTGAGGCCTCTGAGGAAATGGAGCTGGGTATGGCCGCTAAGGTGGGAGAGGGTGGCAGGGGTAGGCACCTGGAGGGGGCTGCTGGCTGAGCAAAGCTGGGAGGATCCTGGCCCAGGCCCTGGGGAGGTGGCAGCAGGGCAGGACCCAACCATTGAGACTTAGTGTCTGGCTCCCAGCAAGCGTCCACTTGTCTCTGTGTCCACGAGAGAGGACTGGCCTTGCAGGGCGCAAGGCCCTAAGCTGGGCTGCAGAGCTGGTGTGGTGAGCCCCTTGGCTGTGTGTGTGTGTGTGCGTGCTGTGCACTGAGCGTGTGACTTGGGAGGCCCAGGCAGCATAGGCGGTGTATACACTGTGAGTATGATGTGGCCGGAGGTGTGGCATGTGCCCTGTGTGTGGCACCTATGGCGTGTGCTGTGTGTGTGTGTCTCAGGCAGTGGCATGTCCAGTCCAGCATGTGTGCTCCGCACTGTGTGTGATGTGCACCAGAGGCGTGGCATTTGCTCTGCACCTAGCGTTTGTAGCATGTGGTTGTGTGTGTGTTGAGGAGCTGCAGGTGTCCAGCATGTGTCATGAGGTGCTTGTGCCCCGTGTGTGCCGCATGTTCTCCGTATGCAGGGGGCTGCCTCAGGAGAGGCTGTGGGGCTCACTGACCTCTGCCCTTGGTCCACAGAGCCCTGCCTGGCCCCCAGCCCAGAGCAGCAAGAGCAGGAGCTGACTGTGGCCCTTGGGCAGCCTGTACGGTTATGCTGTGGGCGGGCTGAGCGTAGTGGCCACTGGTACAAGGAGGGCAGTCGCCTGGCACCTGCCGGCCGAGTACGAGGCTGGAGGGGCCGCTTGGAGATCGCCAGCTCCCTACTGGAGGATGCTGGCCACTACCTCTGCCTGGCACGAGGCTCCATGCTTGTCCTGCACAACGTCACCTTGGTTGTGGATGGTAAGGGGATCTAGCAGGGGCTAAGGATTGCCTGGGGAGAGAGACCCTCCCCATCCTGGACCTCAGACGCCTCCCTCTGTCCCTGACATAGACTCCTTGACCTCCAGCAATGGTGATGAGGACCCCAAGGCCCACAGGGGCCCCTCGAATGGGCATGTGTACCCCCAGCAAGGTCAGTATTAGTCCTCAGGGACTCATTTCCCTACCTCCCAGCTGGTCACTGAGAAGAAGAAACCTATGTGGAAGCAGGATTGAAGCAGGTGGTCATCCTGGGGCACTAGGTTCTCCCTTCCCCTTCCCTCCAGCACCGTACTGGACACACCCTCAACGCATGGAGAAGAAACTTCATGCAGTGCCTGCTGGGAACACCGTCAAGTTCCGCTGCCCGGCTGCAGGCAACCCCACGCCCACCATCCGCTGGCTCAAGGATGGACAGGACTTCCACGGGGAACATCGCATTGGAGGCATTCGGGTGAGTCTCTGGGTTCCAAGACCATCAGCTCCTCCATTTTCACTCCCTCATTGGTCTGCCCAAATCAAACCCACAGCTCTTTCTCTAATGAGGAAGGCAGCTGCAGGGGCCCAGAAGGAGCACTAGACTGTGGACTTGGACAGCTCTGGTTCATGTTCCCACTCTGTCTGCCACTCTCCCGCAAGTGATTTAACTTCTCAGCCTAAGAAACTCCATCTGTAAAGTGGGCAGGATCACTGATCGGCAGGTATCAATTAATTTTAGCAGTTCATCCTCATGAGACCCTGCAGGGTCAGCTCCAGGCCGTGGTGAGGATGCTGAGACTACAAGAGGGCAAAGACTGGCTCGAGGTGGGACAGCTAGGAAGAGGTCGAGCTAAAACTCAGAGACTCAGACCCAGGGCTCAGACACTTCTTGGAGCCTTCTCCTTTGTCCCAAAGTCCTGGCCTTGGCCTGGCCTCCCAGGGCCTAGAGTGCTTGAGAAGAGCCTCGTGGGCAGGATCTGGCCTCCTCATGCCCTGGGCCCCTGGGTGGGCATGGGTTGGTTGCCCCTTATGGACACTTCCCCTGCCCCCAGCTGCGCCACCAGCACTGGAGCCTGGTGATGGAAAGCGTGGTGCCCTCGGACCGTGGCACGTACACCTGCCTCGTGGAGAACTCTATGGGCAGCATCCGCTACAGCTATCTGCTGGACGTGCTGGGTGAGCGGATGGGTAGGCGAGGCGCCATGGGGGTGGGAGCCCTGTCCCTGCCTTCAGGTGGGGCCTAGTCTGGCAGGCAACATGGACTGAGTCTTGGATGACTCACTCAAGCTGCTCAGAGTGTCCAGGTGGGTCCGAGGGAAGCACAGGGGCTAAAGTGGGCCTGCAGGAGCAGGGGTGGGCCAAGAGGAAAAGTGGGAAAGACATCGAGGGAGAGAGCACAGGCTGAGTGAAGGCCCTGGGTGTAAGGAATGCCGTGTGTGTGTGGGGAGGTGTATGCCTGAGTGTGCCTTTTAAGTGGGGAGCTAGGCCATGGAGGATTTTGAATGCTAGGCTGAGAAGTTGTTCTTGACCCCGAAGGCAGTGGGGAGCCATGGAAGGTTTAAGCAGGGTAAGCAGGGGACAGACAAGGTCTGAGCTGCATATCAGGAAGGTCTCTGCCTTGATCTGCGGGATGCTGCAGGCGGTGGGCAGGAGGCTTCTGTGGGTGCTGCCGGTCAAGGTTGACGGCCCGATCTGGCCCCCAGAGCGGTCCCCACACCGGCCCATCCTGCAGGCAGGGCTCCCGGCCAACACCACAGCTGTGGCGGGCAGTGACGTGGAGCTGCTGTGCAAGGTGTACAGCGACGCCCAGCCCCACATCCAGTGGCTGAAGCACATCGTCATCAATGGCAGCAGCTTCGGTGCTGACGGCTTCCCCTATGTGCAAGTCCTGAAGGTCCATCCCCTGCCGGCGCCTGAGCCCCACCCTTCTCCCTTGGGGGGCGGGAGGTGGTCCCCAGCTCCCCTCCCAGCCACAGTGTGGCCCCAGGCCCTGCTGTGACCCTGGAGTGTGTCCTGCATCCCCAGACAGCAGACATCAATAGCTCAGAGGTAGAGGTCCTGTACCTTCGGAATGTGTCGGCAGAGGATGCAGGCGAGTACACCTGCCTGGCGGGCAACTCCATCGGCCTCTCCTATCAGTCGGCTTGGCTCACAGTGCTGCCAGGTGAGCACCCCAGGGGGCCAGGAGAGATTTCGGGATCCCGCTCTGGTCCAGCAGTGGGCTATGACCTGTTGGGTGGATAGTCTCTCTTGACCTGTGGGGTCTGGGCTTAGGACATGGTGTGTGGATTTGTGTGTTTGATTCTGCACGCAACAACCCCTCTGTGTTTGTCCACATGTGACTGTCCATGTGACCCTCTGGGGTGTGGATATGTGGGACTGGGTATAACTGCAGCTTTCTTGGTATGTGTACCCCTGTGTGTGTGGGGGGGGAGCTGTGAAGGCCTGAGTTAGAGGGTGTGGGGCTGGCCATCTGACCACTGACCTATCAGTTATCTGTGTGTGTGTGTCCATCTGTGGACAGAAGAGGACCTCACATGGACAGCAGCAGCGCCCCAGGCCAGGTACACGGACATCATCCTGTACACGTCGGGCTCTCTGGCTTTGGTGGTGCTCCTGCTGCTGGCCGGGCTGTATCGTGGGCAGGTGCTCCACAGCCGGCACCCCCGGCAGCCCGCAGCTGTGCAGAAGTTGTCCCGCTTCCCTCTGGCCCGACAGGTACGTGCGGACCCCCATCCCATGTCCCTGTATCGAGGCTCTCGGCCTGCCTTCCCGCTGCAGCTTGGCTCCCGCAGGCCCACCAAGTCTCCCACTTTGCAGTTCTCCCTGGAGTCCGGCTCCTCAGCCAAGTCAAGCTCGTCACTGGTGAGGGGCGTCCGTCTCTCCTCCAGTGGCCCGCCCTTGCTCGCTGGCCTTGTGAGTCTAGACCTACCTCTCGACTCGCAGTGGGAGTTTCCCCGAGACAGGTATGCTGAGTGGGGTGAGGGTGGGGCGCAGGCCCTGGGGAAGAGTGCTGCCTAGACAGCTGAGGCCTCAGCTTCCTCCACCTCCAGGCTGCTGCTCGGGAAGCCACTGGGCGAGGGCTGCTTTGGGCAGGTGGTACGTGCGGAGGCCTTCGGCATGGACCCTGCCCGGCCCGACCAGGCCAGCACTGTGGCCGTCAAGATGCTCAAGGGTGAGTGTGGTGGCCTTGGGGGAGGTACTGTGGCCTTGGGACAAACAGAAGGGGTTCATGGTGCTACCAGCTGAGCCCTGAGGGCCAGGAGAAGCTGCAGGATCCCACCCTTGGACTTGGGGCTCAACTCTGCTACTGATGCTGGCAAGTCATTTCTTAGCCTCAGTTTCTTCATGTGACACCTGGGGTAAATAACAGTCCCTACCTCCCAGCCTGGGGTTCATGGAAAGTGCCTAGTGCGTAAAGTCTTAACCATTGGGATGTTGATGACTACAAGGATTGGGGGTGATTGGGGTTTGATACCTCCTCTCAGCCCTGGACCCATGTCAGGCTTGGCCTCATTTAACCTTGTCAGCCTCCCAGGCCTCCATCGCATCCCCCACGATTCCCCCTAGTCACACCCTCACCATCCCCTGGGCCCTTCCCAGGTCTGTCTCCCTGTGTCCACCACTCTCCACCTTCTGCTTAAACTCAGTCCCAGCCCCCAAGCAGCAGTCCTAAGGTGCTCAGGACACACAAGGGACCTGCCACCGGGGCCTTTCACTGCTGTCCCCAGCCCCCTCTATAAGAGTGGCCCAAACCGCTGTTCTGCCCCTCCCTGCACCCCTGCACAGCTGGGGCCACCTGGCACTCTGGGAGGCAGGGATTGAGAAATGTGCATTGTGAGTTCTGGCGGGAGGGTATGTCATTGGCCCAGGGCCACAGGTCAGCCCCTGGTCCTCAGCCTTCTCAAGAGAAGTTGGAGCAGCTTCTTCCTGGCCTCCCCTCACTGCGCCCCACTGGCAGCTCCCTGAATTCCCAGGCAGATGGATGCCAGGCCTTAGTCAGACAGACCTCAGGGCGCCAGCCTGCTTCCCGCCCCCCGGAGCTCTCACCCCGGTCAGGGACTAACGCCAAGCCCTCCAGATGGAGTTCCTTCCTGCTCAGAGCTCTTCCCCTCTCTCTTGTTTCCTGGTCCCACTCGCTGGCAGGCCTACCTCTTTTAGATCCTTGATCTCGTTGCATCCTTGCAACTGCTGTGAGAGGTAGGGCATGAGCCATTGTCCCATTTCATATAAGAGGATCTTGAGGTTTAGAGAGGTTAGGAGACTTTTTCAAGGCCACACAGCCCAATGGGGATTCAGGCCCAGACCTTCCTGATTCTGGGTCCAGCGATCCAAGTCCTGTCCTCCATCCTGCAGCCTCCCTTATGTAGTCACCCTAGCTGTCCCCTTGCAGACAACGCCTCCGACAAGGACTTGGCAGACCTGGTCTCTGAGATGGAGGTGATGAAGTTGATTGGCCGACACAAGAATATTATCAACCTGCTGGGTGTCTGCACCCAGGAAGGTGAGGCAGGGCAGCGGCTGGCTGGGGGCAGTCAGGGCATGACCCACAGCATCGGCAGCCTCCCTGTGCCCCCTCGCCTCCGTAGGGCCTCTGTACGTAATTGTCGAGTGTGCCGCCAAGGGAAACCTGCGGGAGTTCCTGCGGGCCCGGCGCCCCCCAGGCCCGGACCTCAGCCCTGATGGGCCACGGAGCAGTGAGGGGCCACTCTCCTTTCCCGCCCTGGTCTCCTGCGCCTATCAGGTGGCCCGAGGCATGCAGTACCTGGAGTCTCGGAAGGTATAGGCACTGGGCAGCACTCTGGACCACTCCAATCACTCCATCTCCACACTCATGCCCTTGGCATTAAATGTCCCCAACTTCTCCCTCTCTCCCCTTTCTCATTACCCCGCCTAAATGTCCCCAAGTCCTTCAGTACCCCCAACCATATGCAGTTGACACTGCATGCCCCCATTCCTTCCTCACATACTGCTTAACCCATAGGCAGAGCAAGGGAAGAGGCGATGCAGGAGAGAGGGTATGGGCCCTAACAGTAGACGGCTTACATTTCCCCTCTCTGGATCTTGACTGCCTCATCTGTAAAATGGGTGGATGACCCCTCACGCCCGGGTTACCGTGAGGCGGTGTGTGCCCAGCTCCCAGCCGTGTGTCCTCATAACCCTAAGCTCCTGCCCTTGCCCCAGTGCATCCACCGGGACCTGGCTGCTCGCAACGTGCTGGTGACTGAAGACAATGTAATGAAGATCGCTGACTTTGGGCTGGCGCGCGGCGTCCACCACATTGACTACTACAAGAAAACCAGCAACGTGAGGGAGGCAGGGCAGAGCTGGATGGGGGGCTGGGGGCACTGTGGGACTTGGCACCAATGCTCACACCTCTCCCATCCAGGGTCGCCTGCCTGTCAAGTGGATGGCACCTGAGGCCTTGTTTGACCGAGTCTACACACACCAGAGTGACGTGTGAGTCCTGGAAGTTGGGGGTCCAGAGTGTCCACCAGTGATCATTGCCCTACCCCACAGAAAGGGCAAAGCACTTGCCCACGGTCACACAGCCCTGATCTTGCCCAAGATCACCTGAGTGGGACTAGACTCCAAAAGGGGCCCCAATCCCCAGCCCCCATGGTAGATCATGGCTACCCTCATGCCCCCATCCCAGCCCCAGGAGGAGGAAGCGAAGCTGTGCCCTGCTGAGCCCTGTCCTGCCTCCAGGTGGTCGTTTGGGATCCTGCTGTGGGAGATCTTCACATTCGGGGGCTCCCCATACCCTGGCATCCCAGTGGAGGAGCTCTTCTCATTGCTGCGGGAGGGCCATCGGATGGACCGGCCCCCGAACTGCCCCCCAGAGCTGTGAGGCCTCGCCCCACTCTCCCTCACTTTCCGGTCCTCGTCTTCTTCCCTGACCTTAGCTCAGGGTCTGGCCCTGGAGAGTGGTCAGCACCAACTCTCGCTAACTCTCACCACCTCTTCCTCGGCCCAGCGGGGAGGTCCTGGCCTGGCTTCTGTGCCCTTCCACTAGATGGTCCCACCTGCCCCTTCATCACACGCCCCACCCAGGGCCATGAGGGCCTCCCCTCACCCAAGTCTGAGGCTCCTCTTAACCGTCTGCCCCCCGCCCCCCCAGGTATGTCCTGATGCGTGAGTGTTGGCACGCAGCGCCCTCTCAGAGGCCCACTTTCAAGCAGCTGGTGGAGGCGCTGGACAAGGTCCTGCTGGCCATCTCTGAGGAGGTACCACTCCTCTCTTGTCCCATGACCTCCCTCCGCCCGCTCCCCTCTGGGCCTCACCCGAGCCAACTCCCAGGGCTGACCAGCACTGTTCCCTGCAGTACCTCGACCTCCGCCTGACCTTTGGACCCTACTCCCCTGCCAGTGTGGACGCCAGCAGCACCTGCTCCTCCAGCGACTCTGTCTTCAGCCATGACCCCCTGCCACTGGGTTCCAGCTCTTTCCCCTTCCCCGGAGTGCAGACATGAGCCGGGGCCTGAGGTTGTGCGCACAGGCTGGCTGGCTGGCGGCTTTGGGCCTCCTGGCTCAGCCGCACCCAGACAGTGCTTGACCTTGGCAGCCTCCGGCCCTGACCTCAGGGTGCTGTCCCAGAGCTCTGGTTCTGCTTTGGGGAGGTCCGTCCTTGGTGCCGAGGTCCCTGATTGAGGCTTCCTGCTCTGGCGTCAGGTTCCCAAACCAGAGTTCAAGCCCACTCTCAAGGCCCTGCCCCTGCCCTTGGCGCCATGGCCGAGTGTTCTAAAGGCCTGAGAGGCCGGGTTCTACTTGGCCTGCTGGGCCTTGGCACTTGGTCCTATTCCAGGAGTTTGGCTGGACCTGGCTGCAGGGCTGTCCTAAGCCTCCGTGCTTCCCTACACCAGGAGAGGTCTTGGGCCTCTGGACCCGACTTCGCTAGGCCTCCCTTGCCACCCCTTTGCTGCTTGTCCCAGCATCCTGGGAAGGAGCATTGGCCCCTTGGCTCTTAGCTGACAGGCTGGAAGCCTGCTGAAAACACAGAAGCAAGTGGCCTTTTATAAATTATTTTTTTGAAAGAAACCTCTGTGTGCCTGGTGTATTCCTTGCAGCAAATGGAGGGGGAACAGAGTGGAGGGATCCCCAAGCTGGGAGTTTTGCTGGGTGACACAGCCTGAGGGCTCTGTGCCAGGCAGGCTTGGGTTTGCATCCCCCTCCAGCTGCCTCGGATCCAGGAGCCTTTGTGCACCTCTGTCCTGGTCTGTCTGTCTTTCCAGCACCATCTTGTGTACATGATGGTGTGAACGAGTGCTAATGAGCAGAGGACTCCACAGGGCACCATCCACTGGGCGAGACTCCTGTACCCCCTGCACATGCGTGTGCATGTGCATGCCCTGGGACTGTCCCCAAGGGAGCTGGCAGCGCCCCTCCTCCATCTGCTCAGCATTAACCAAGCTGACCGTTAACACAGCGTGAAAGCCTGAAACCCAGTCTCGAGCTGCCGCCCGCTCCCACGCTCTCCGCTCAGGCTGGGGGCTTGTGGGGGCTGTGCCCGCCCCACCCCACCCTGGCTAGTCTCCCAGGCAGCAGCTGGTTGCCGCCCGGCTGGGCTGCAGCTGTCCCTGCCTGCTGGGTCCTCCCTGGGCAGCCCGTCCCAGGCCTGTTCTCAAACACCCTCTGAGGGGGGGCGGGGATCAGCTTCCCAGGGCTCTGAGCCTGGAACCTTCCCCGCCTCCATCCCGGCAGTTACTGCTGCTCTTGAACCACGGGGTGGAGGTATCTGACCCAGTGCCTGGCACTCTCTCCTGCTCTGTTCTGGACAAGACTGCCCAGTCGGGACAGACACTGTGAGGCCGCCTGGATTGGCCCCATGGCCTCCTGTGGGTGGTGGCTGATAATACATACAGGGTCAGAAGGCATTGGGCATAAAGATTTGGGGCTGGGGCCATCCCAGAAGACTGAGCAGCAGCTCGTGGCCTTGCTCCCCCTCCTGTTTCGGGTCTCTTCACACTGCCCCTGCCCTCTCTGACTCACCATGTCCCAAACCGAACTACTCATCTTCCCTCCAAAACTGCCCCTCCTCCAAGACCCCTGTCTCAGAGAAGGCACCAGGCCAGAAACCAGGGACTCCTCACCGACCACTTCCTTTCCCTCAGGAACCCTATTCTCTAATGGGGTGGAGACAACACGGGACTTGGAGCCAGGAGGTACAAAGCCTGCCACTTCCAGCGACCCAAGGCCAGTGCTGTCACTTCTCTGATGGTCACTTTCTCCGCCTGTAGGAGTGGGGTGCTCCTGCCCTGCCTACCTTCCAGAGCTTAGGGTTTAGGATGAAATGAGGCTTGGATGAGCACATGGGAAGGGCGCCACACGGGCCATGCCCGAGTATTTCACTAAAAACTGGTGCTTGACCTTCACAGGCGTCCTGAGGTTTCCTCCCAGTTCCCCTGCAGGTGGCTCCAGAGGCAGCTTCCAAAAGCGGCTCTTGGCTCATGTTCCTCCTGCACTGAAGGACCCCCACTGGCCCCCAGGAGCCCCCAAACTTTCTGACTGAGACCCACTCCCAAATTTAGAGTCTCCCAGTGGAGGTCACTGGCCAGTGACCATGTCCTTCACCAGCCCTGTCAATCACAGGAGAGGCAGATCCCTCAGAGCCCATCCGGGGAAGGAAAGGGCTGGGAGGCTAAAGCAGTGTGTAAGGACAAGGGGGTGACAAACGAGAGCCCCATTTTCCACTGTCCCAACGCAAGCCCACTGCTGTGCCAGGCTCAGCCACCCACCACTCTCCCTCATCACAGCCTCACCAGATGAAGATTAGTCTTCCCAGTTTCATGGTGGCGAAACTGAGGATGTAACGGGTCCAGGGTCACAGGGATAGGGGACGAAGGAAGGAGATGAGCTGATCCACCCAGGTTCTGGGCAGGTCCTGTGCACATGAGGGACCAGAGCCAGGTCACTCAGAGTGACGGGGCAGCTGCTGCCTGGTAGGTCCCGGGGGCCAGCTGCCCACCCTGTGCCCCCTCCCTGCCCACATCCCTGGCAGGCACACGCTTGCTGGGGCCCTTCCACATTCCTGACGTCCCACGTCAGAAAGAGACAGATGCTGCTAACCCCCGTGCAAGCTTTGCTATTCCATCTCCCCTCCCCCAGCCTGGTCTGGGCAGCATGGCAGCATCTGGAGCCCGGTCCCCTCTGGCTGCTGGGTTCTGAGCAGCTTCCCAGCTAGGGACGCCAGCCTCGAGAGCCTATAGAAAAAGCACTGGCTCACCTCCGGACTCTGCCACTTGCTGCCTGTGTGTATCGGTCCAGGCAGATAGATAGACAGCCACCCCGATCTGGGAAGTGGGAGCCAAGGGACAGGAGGCCGCTGGGAGGCAATCGGCACCCGGGAGGGAGGGTCCGGTTGTCCACAGTGTGTGTGTGGGGGTGCTATGACTGAAGTTACTCTCTCTGAGCCTGAAACACAGGAATGACGACACACCCCAGAGAGTGATTCTAAGTGATCAGTCGACGATGGCTGTTGTCGCACAGGACTAGAAGGGAGTGGCCCCCAGGGCCAGGTTGCCATGATCTCACTCCCTTCCGGTGGCAGCCCTTCCAGGAAGGCATTCTTCTCCCTGTTGCCCTGATGAGGACACGGAGGCTCAGAAGGAGGAGGTCATGGGGCAGTAAGTGGGAGGGTCGGAGCTCCGGACCAGGTGCTCTCTCCACTGCCAGGGTTCATTCCCACAGCCCCAGTGGCCTGGACATTTTGGGGACCAGGAGAGGCTCTGGGTTTGCACGAAGCAGGATACATCTGTTGATGGGACATCTATGCGCATGGGAGGACGGACGTTCACGATGCCCAAGCACAGACGTGCCGGGCCCAGAGCTTTGGGCTCCAGCCCTATGGCCTTTGGTCCCTGCCACCACAGGGCCCTCACGCAGGCTGTTCCTTCTTGGGGAACTCTCCTCCGCCCCCCTCACCTGGTCAAGCCCTACCGGTCTTTAGATCTCACTCAACCTCATTTCTCAGAGGGCCCGGGGAGGCCGCCCTCCAGCTTCAGCTCCCCTTCTCGCTGAGCCCCCTATTCAGAGGCTCTCATTGCTATAGAGAAGGATGCTCTCAGCAGTCTCCTGTCCCCAGACTGCGAACACCAAGAAGCAAGCACTGCTTTGGTAGTTTTTAATCAGCAGTTCGAAAACTCAAGCATATTTCAGAATCACCTGGAGGGCTTGGACTGCTGGGCTCCACCCCAGAATTTTGTATTTGGTAGATTTGAGGTGAAACCTGGGAATCTGCATTTCTAACAAGTTCCCAGGGGATGCAGATGCTGCTGGTCTGGGGGCCACACTTTGAGAACCACAGTTTTAAAGAGGCAACACATGTTCACGGTTTAAACAACTGAAAAGGGCCGGCCCTGTGGCTTGGCAGTTAAGTGCGCACGCTCCGATGCTGGTGGCCCGGGGTTCGGATCCCAGGCGAGCACCGAGGCACCGCTTCTCCAGCCATCCTGGGGCCGAGTCCCACATGCAGCAACTAGAAGGATGTGCAGCTATGACATACAACTATCTTGGGGCTTTTGGGGGGAAAAAATGAATAAATAAAATCTTAAAAAAAAAAAAAAAAACTGAAAAAAACCCTCCAATGGCACAAAAGCTTTTCGATGAAAAGCAACCCCCTTGCTCTCACGCTCCCCGTTCCCCGGAAACGGCCCCATTTTCGAGTCTTCTTGCACACTCCCGCTCCTGCTGTGCAGTGCTTGATCCCGTTTAGTGTTCACCATCCTCGTCCCCCGCCCCGCCCCCAGGCTGCGCCCGGCAGAACTGAGGTGCAGTAGAGAGCTGACTGGAGGGAGGAGATCCATTCCCAGGGCACACACACTCAGGTGTGCACACTCAGCCCGCCACTGCCCGCCCCTTCCCACACTCCTGGACCCTCACTGGGGTCCCCTCCTCCCCTCCATCCCTCCACCTGCTGTAGGATTTAGCCTAATCCCGGGGTATGCATGTGAGGCAGCTGCAGCTCTCTCTGGGGAGAGACGGCTCCTCTCCAGAGGAAATCTCCTTTTATTCTCTTGCTACCGAAATCTGACCTTCGTTGGCACCTGGGCCCCATGGCTGGGGCCTGTCCCCAAGAAGTGGTTGAGGAGGGGCGTGAAATCGCCAACAGCTGAACTCACGCAGCCTTTCCTCACATCCTCTCACATTCCATAGCGCCAGCCCCTTCCGGGGCCCCCAGTGCCACCCTCATGTTCCTCATGTACTTGGGGCCCAGCCTGACTTGGCCCTACCAGTCTCACCAGCTGGCCCTGCGAGGTATGGCTGCGGGCTCCTCGCAGCTCTAGAACCTCCAGGCCATCCTTGTACCCTTCAGTTACCACCTCCTCCAGGAAGCCCATGTGGACCTCACAGTGCAACCTGGCATTCCACCTCTATGCACGACGGGAATGACTTGTTTATGTCTCTTTGTCCCACCCAAGGCAGGGGCCTCTTGCCTCCACTTCTGAGAACTCAGGCCCAGTGCAGAGCAGGCCACCCTAAGCCTCATCAAACAACTGAATGACCTGGTAAGGGTGGTGATGAGGCTTCTGGCCCGGGAAGCCCTTTCCTTCAACAGCTGAGCCCCCCAGGAAACCAAGGGTCTCAGTCCTCTTTCCTGGGAGGCAGGAGAGGAGGGTCGGTTGGCAAGGCTGGGACAGCAAGACCCATATTGGACAGCACAGCTCTAAAATCTTTAAAATGAGCAGCTCTTGGGTCCTGGGGAGGGGGCCGAGATTATTGTCATTGCTGGGGGACCCACTGCATGTGCTGAGGAAGGCTTCACCAACACAGCTGAGCTTCTGCCACCGAGGGCACTGGCCCCTTCCAAGCAACCCCAGAAGCCAGACAGGTTAGAGACAAATGACAGGTGGCATGGATTCACTAGAGCAGAACTGTCCAATAGACCTTTCTGCAATTATGGAAATGTTCTGTATCTGTGCTGTCCAAGGGTAGCCACTAGCCACACGTGTCTATTGAGCACTTGAAATGTGGCTCACACAACTGAGAAATTGATTATTTTATTTTAGTTAATTTAAACATAAGTTTAAAGAGCTGT